GGTAGAGATGAGGTCTCTTGCTCAGGCTGGTACATTTTTCTTTTTTTGAAAAAGGGGAGGGGGCTCGGCAGCCACATACACCAGAGCTGGAGGGTTCGAATCCAGCCCCAGCCTGCCAAACAACAATGACAACTGCAACCAAAAAATAGCCAGGTATTGTGGCAGGTGCCTGTAGTCCCAGAATACTTGGGAGACTAAGGCAAGAGAACCACTTAAGCCCAGGATTTGGAGGTTGCTGTGAGCTGTGACATCACAGCACTCCGCCCAGGTGACAGCTTAAAAAAGGGGGGGGGGAGGGAGCTTTCCATATAGCAAAGCCTTAGAAGCACATCTGTGGAAGTAAGGTGGATCCAGAGTTGAATCTTGCCCTGATTGGCTCTGTCCTTAGGCAGATGACTTAACTTCTCATTTGTAAAATGGACTACTGTGAGGATTAAAGAAATATAATAAGCATTTGATAAATAACTCCTGAATTAATGAAAAAGGCTTAATATAGTCCCTGGCTCAGGGTACATTCCCAATACGAGATATCCATTATCGTTATTTTTATTTACCTAGGTATAATAATAATAATAGGGGGAGGGGATTTGGTAAGTTCCACCTAATGGGTACAATGTAGGCGCACACAGCTGGGTGAAGAACTCAACTGCAGTTTGGACTTTACCTCACAAACCCAAACAATGCAGCCCAATCATATGTACCCTCATATAATCTGAAATAAAAAATAATAATAATTGCTATTGCATTACATACTTTATCTCACAGAGTCCTTATAAAAACTTTATGAGATAGGTACTACTATTATTCTGATTTGTCTGTGCGTGTGTGTGTTAACCTCCTATTATAAACAACTAGAAAATTGGATAAGATATAAGAAAAAAAAATACTTTCAGACATGGGGCAAGTAACCGGGGAGAAGGGAGAGAAATGAAATACACCTCACAATTGCCGTGGCTTTCTGCCTTGAGGTGATTTCTGGACCACAGACGTCACAGTGCAGTTTCATAAAGGAGGGAACTATGCAGAGAAGAGAGCTGTAGAAATCTGCATATGAGTTTTCTCAAGTCTTTTTTTTTTAAATTAAATCATAGCTCTGTACATTAATGCAATTATGGAGCACAATGTTCTGGTTTTATATACAGTTTGAAATGTTTTCATCAAACTCGTTATTCTGATTTTAATTGAAGAGGGAAAGTGAGACCCAGCTCAAGATTACACAACTGGTATTATGGAAAAAAAAAACAGAACCTGAGATAATAAATGGAGTTTGAATCTCAGGTTGCCACTTTGTGGCTGTTTGACTCCAGGCTGTAATTTAACCTCTCTGTGCTCTTGTTAAAGTGAGTTAATAATGTCTGTCTCGAGGAGTCATTGGGCAATCAAATGAGGTAATATATGTGAATACCTGGTACATACCAAGGTCTTTTTTTTTCTTTTTTCTTTTTTTTTTTTTTAATTGAATGGTAACTATGTACATTAATGCACTTCTGGGATACCGTGTGGGGTTTTCACACACAATCCAAAACACTTCCATCAAATTGGTTAACATAGCCTTCATGTCATTTTCTTAGTTATTGTTTTAAAACGATCACATTCTACTCTTAGAAAGATTCACTTGTACCCTTGTAAGATAAAACTCAGAAGTGATCCCTCCAATCCCCCTCCCTCCACCCATTCCTCCTCCCCTCTCCCTCCTCCCTCCCCGTATTCTTAGGCTATAATTAGGTTATAGCTTTCATATAAAAGGTATAAATTAGTTTCATAATAGGGGTGTGTACATTGGATACTTTTTCTTCCATTCTTGTGATACTTTGCTAAGAAGAACATTTTCCAGCTCCATCCATGTGAACATGAAGGACGTAAAGTCTCCATCTTTCTTTATGGCTGCATAGTATTCCATGGTATACATATACCACAGTTTGTTGATCCATTCGTGGATCGATGGGCACTTGGGCTTCTTCCATGACCTGGCAATTATGAATTGGGCTACAATAAACATTCTGATACAAATATCTTTGTAGTAATGCGATTTTTGGTCATCTGGGAATATACCTAATAAAGGAATTGTAGGCAGGTCTATTTTTAGTTCTCTAAGTGTTCTCCAGAGGTTTTTCCAAAAGGAACGTATTAGTTTATATACCAAGGTCTTATTAAAGTGTTTTCTCTTATTGCCACCTTTTTTTCCTGACTCAAACTCCCCAGGGAAGACTCTTGCTGTTGGCTGTCACATGAGGTCTGACAATTAAGTTTGGGAATTCATCCTAGAAAAAGTGCTACATACCTCACTGCTAACTATCACTATGGTCACCTTCAAAGTACTTCCCTTGGGAATCTGTGCATCAACACCAGTGCCTAGTCCACCTTTCAAAGCAATTTTGAAACTCTTTTTCTGGAATGACCATCAGAGTTGTAGTTGTACGTTTGTGAACTTGATACCATGTGCTTCCGTTGATAACACTGTACAAACAACTTGATTGGGTTTCATAACCTTAGTATATCAGTGGCTCATAGTTGATAGCTCATAGTTTGTGTTGACACATGGCAGTGTCTTGTTGAGTGGTGTTCATTATTGTTGTTACATGTTTTGTTTTGTTTTTTCTGAAACAGAGCCTCAACCTGTCGCCCTGGGTAGAGTGCTGTAGCATCACAGCTAACAGCAACCTCCAAATCCTGAACTCAAGCGATTCTCCTGTCTCCACCTCCCAATTAGCTGGGACCTCAGGCACCTGCCATGATGCATGGCTATTTTTTGGTTGCAGCTGTCATTGTTGTTTGGCAATCCCGGGTTGGATCTGAACCAGCCAGCTCAGGTGTACATGGCTGGCACCTTAGCCACTTGAGCTACAGGTGCCGAGCCTGTTATGTGTTTTTGTGTGCCATACAGCGACAGCCAAATTTTTGCTAGGTGGACAAAATATAGATTCTATTTCATGCAACAGTATTAATTATAGGATTTGAAGATAGAGTATTAAAGATAGAGATATTTTGATTTTTTGAAGAGAGGAAATTAAAAGGTCAACCATGCATTATCTATGGGGAAATTTTCTGTTCTTACAGTGTTAATCTGTTTGCTTGTCAAGTATTTGTCAGATGTTGAAGCCTTAATTAGGCTCTTTTGGGATAGAAACTTCAACTAAAACCTTAATTTGTTTAATTATCAGCTCAATTACAGGGGAGTTGGGATCTGGTATCCTTTTAACTTCATGCCTAAAAAGGGATGTTATCTATGCTCTTAATAAACTGGGGCAGAAGGGGAAATTAAGTTTGTACTGTGAGGGTTTACTAATTTAGAATGACTTTCTTTCTTTTTTTAAATTATTTTTTATTAAATCATAACTTTGTACATTGATGCATTTATGGGGTTCAGGGTACTGCTTCGATATACAATGTGAAATGTTTACATTGAACTAAGTAACACATCCATCACAATTATACTCATTTCATAATAATTTTGAAATGTACCATTGCATCATGCACATTAGGTGAGGTCCCCCCAAATACCTTCCCTCCTTTCATATCCCCCCTCCCCTCCCCTCTCACTCCTCTTCCCTTCTACTTTCTAGACTATAGTTATGTTTTGCCATTCATATTAGAATGACTTTCCATAGGAGTAGAGAATCTCATTCAGACTGAAGGGGAAAAAATGCATTCTAAATCCAAATTCTGTAGACCCTAACCCCTAACCCTTTCTTTTTCTTTTTTCTTTTCTTTTCCTTTTTTTTTTTTTCTGAGACAGAGTCTCACTATGTTGCCCTCGATAGAGTGCTGTGGCATCATAGCTCACAGCAACCTCAAACTCTTGGCTTAAATTCTCTTGCCTCAGCCTCCCGAGTAGCTACAGGCACCCACCTGTAGTTGGGCAACTACAGGCACCCCCCACGATGCCTGGCTATTTTTTGTTGCAGTTGTCGTTGTTTTAGCTGGTTCAAACCCACCAGCCTCAGTGTATTTGGTGCCATAACCACTGTGCTATGGGTGCAGAGCCTGTGGAGCCATTTTCTAACATGGAAGAGAGAGGTAGAGAGAGTTCTGGGCAGACACTTCCAAGAAGGGATGCACACAAAATTCCCCTAGGTGTGATGGTGCTTACTTACAGTCCCAGCTACTTGTGAGGCTGAGGTGTAAGGATCACTTGAGCCTAGGAGTTCGAGACCAGCTGGGTACCATACGTAACCCCCGTCTCAAAACTACATAAATACAAGCTGAGGGGAAGGGAAATGAGGGAGGAAGGAGAGGGGAGGAGGGGAAGAGATTGGTGTGTTTCCACTTAATGGGCACAATGTAAGGGTATATGGCACACTTTTTGGGCGCTGGACACAACTACAAGAGGGACTCTACCTAACAAATCCAAATATTGTAACCTAGGTGTCTGTACACTCCCATTAACCTGAAATTTAAAATGAGTAAATAAATAAATAATTTGAAAAACTTTTTTAAAAGAGCAAACCCAATGGTTAAAATGAATAATAAAGGCTTGGCACCTGTAGCTCAAGCAGCTAAGGCACCAGCCACATACACCAGAGCTGGCAGGTTCGAATCCAGCTGGGGCCTGCCAAACAACCATGACAACTACAACCAAAAAATAGCCAGGCATTGTGGTGGGTGCGTGTAGTCCCAGCCACTTGGGAGGCTGAGGTAAGAGAATTGCTTAAGCCCAAGAGTTGGAGGTTGCTGTGAGCTGTGATGCCACAGCACTCTACCCAGGGTGACAGCTTGAGGCTCTGTCTCAAAAAATAAATAAATAAAATATAAAATAAAATAAAATGAATAATAAAAGTAATTAGAACAAACAGAAAATGAACAATATTTAGGGGTGAAATTATTTTACTATTACCTATATATAATGTGGTCTGGGTTTTGTGTATGTCAGTAAAATTTTTGTTCTATAGATCTTTTAGCCTTTTGTAGTCCTCAAGTCATCTTGTATAACTGAAAAAACCGTTTATTATCCAACATCTGCTACCCATGCTTATGTCTGTCATCACTAAATTATTTCACAGGTTTATTTCAAAAACAAACTGAAGTTGGCACTTATTGGCCAGAGCGTCTTTGGACAGGAAGTCTACAGCCACCTTCGCAAAGAGGGCCACAGAGTAGTAGGGGTGTTTACAGTTCCAGACAAGGATGGAAAAGCTGACCCACTGGGTAAGTGCATCTGGGGATAATTAGTCAAGAATTCTCAAGTCTGGATTGTCCATCAGAGCTGGTGTGGCAGCTCCATGTTCATCACAACACGCTCCTTATTTGTTGATTTGTCAGCATTGATACTGGGCTTCTGTCTCATGGTCCACGGTAGCTGCCTCAGCACCAACTATCAAATCTGTATTCCAGTAAGCAGAAAGGAAAGCAGGGAAGTAGACAGCAAGCTTTTTATTAAGGGTGTAATCCAGAAGTTGCACATATTACTCCCACTTGTATTCCACTTGCCAGAACTTAGTCCCAGGCCAAATCTATTTGCAAGAGAGGCTGAGAAATACAGATTTTATTTGGAGTGGCCATGTATTCAGCTAAACTAGGGGAATGCATTGCTAAAGGATAAATGGTTCAACTAGCAGTCTCTGCTGTGTGTGTGTATTTCAGAAGAATTGCAAGCATGAGACTGTTAGACCTCCTTTCAGAATGGAGATCCTGGGAAATGAACTCTTCCCTAATGTTGCCTGGTCCCAAGGTCAAGACCCTCTTTCCACTGGCCATGGCCATTTGGGCTCATAGAACTCAGAAAAAGAAAAAATACCAGCATGATTTGACCAGCCTGCTCAAGTGCACCTACACCTGCTATGCACATCTATTTCACCTGTATAAGGAGGTGGTACAGTTCATGGTTAACAGCATAGGATCTGGAGTCAGGAGATTAATTCTGACTCTGCCACTTACTACCTGTGCAACCCTGGGCAAGTTAGCTAATCTTACTAAGCTTCAGTTCAGTGATACCTATCTCATGTGGCTGCTATGAGGATTAAATGAGATTATTGTTCACAAAGGGCTCACACTATTCCTGGCTATTAATTAGCAATCAGTCATGACAGTAGCTGCTGACTGTTCTTGTCAAGAGAGTCAGCCAAAAATAGCTCTGGGGAAGCCAAAAACCAAAGCACAAGCCCAGTACCTAGATGACTCAAGCCCGTCTCAGTGGAGTTCATTTTTTGCAGTGAAGATTTCTAAGCCTCCTCCATCCATTTTTCTTTCCCCTATAATCTTTCACAATTTTCTCTCATCATCATATTTTTTACCACCATCTACCTGTTTTCCTGTAATCTGACACGTGAGTTGAGTCTGTTGAACATTTTATGAACATTTGCGTTTTGTGAACATGATCGCACCATCTCTCAGATTCTTCCATGTGGATTGAGTGGGGCCTAATCTAGATGGCCAGGGTCCTTCAAGACTCACTTTGGCTTCAGAATTTAGGTTTTTCTGGTGGAAGGATCATCTCATTCAGAGTCAATGAATTTTGATGATCGGATAGGGGAGAAAGTAAAAGGTACAAAAAAATGCACATGAAAACCTTTCATTGAAGCTCCTGGAAATTGCCAAAAATTCATATACAAAATATAGGGCATATACTATTACTAATATGTAATAATGTGCATTATTATATATAATACATGTATACTTAAATATATATGCTTAATATAAAAAGTATATAATAAAAATTACATTTTATTATGGAAAAACATGGGCTTGTGCTGTTTGTACTCTGGAGGGCCATTCAATTTTCGCATGGACTTGGGATGGTGTCATTTGTTTGGGAGGGGACAGCACGTTCCTCAGGAAGGAGACCTGGATCTGTTCCGGTGTAGCAGACCCTTCCATGGAGCTGAGTTCTCATTCTCTGTTGTTGGCCTCTCTCCTCTGCTAACTCATGTTTGTTCAATTTGGGAGAAGGATGTAGAAAAGTTCAGCTCAGTAACTCTAACCCATCATCTTCTGGGATCTGCCTGTTTGGCAGGGATATCGTACTCCACTCTACCATTTACTCTATGCAGGGAATGGGGAGAATCAAGGTTTTCCAACTATGCCAGAGGTTAGCATGTTAAATTGATGGGTGAAGTACTGGCACTTGGCTCCAAATCTAAAGCTATGTTCTTTAAAATGTTCTATCAGGCTGGGCGTGGTGGTTCATACCTGGGAATCGTAGCACTCTGGGAGACCAAGGTGGGTGGATTGCCTGAGCTCATGAGTTCAAGACCAGGCTGAGCAAGACCCCATCTTTAAAAAATAGCTCGGCATTGTGGTGGGTGCCTGTAGTCCCAGCTACTTGGAAGGCTGAGGAAAGAGATTTGCTTGGGCCCAGGAGTTTGAGGTTTCTGTGAGATGATGCCATAGCACTCTCCCCAGGGTGCCAGAATGACACTTTCTCTCAAAAATAAATAAATAGTAATAAAGGTGTCATTTTTTATCTGAAAAAGAAAAAAGTTTCGGGCAGCACTGGCCCCATATGCCGGAGGTGGTGGGTTCGAACCCAGCCCCGGCCAAAAAATGCCAAAAAAATTTTTTTTTCCATTAAAATCTCTTAATATTATTTAGCCACAAGTTTTTTAGTTCCAAGTTATTATTCCTTAAATATATAGATAGATAAATTAACATCTTTTGTATTAACCAGGTTAGAGTTGAAACTATCAACTATTACTATTTCTTAGTAAAATATCACAAGAATGGAGAAGCAGGCTCAGTGCCTGTAGCTCAGCAGCTAGGGTGCCAGCCACATACCCTGAAGCTGGCGGATTCCAATCTGGCCCAGGCCTGCCAAACAACAATGACAACTACAACCAAAAATAGCCAGGCTTTGTGGAGGACACCTGTAGTCCCAGCTACTTGGGAGGCTGAGGCAAAAGAATTGCTTAAGCCCAAGAGTTAGAGGTTGCTGTGAGCTGTGGCACCATGGCACTCTACCGAGGGCAACATATTGAGACTCTATCTCAAAAAAAAAAAAAAAGAATGGAGAAACAGGAATTCAATGTATTCAATACTAACATGAAGCAGGTAGATAATCTAATATATGTCCAAATAAGAGAGAAATTCGAATCAATTCAAGGTAGGGGGAAGGGAATGAAGAGGAAGAGGGCAGAAGGAGAGGGATGGGTGTGCTCCCACTTAATGGTCACAATGTTGGGGTATATGGCACACCTCTTAGGGGTGAGACACAACTATAAGAGGGACTCTGCCTAACGAATGCAAACATTGTTACCTGTTTCTTTGTCCCCACAAATTAACCTGAAATTTAAAAAAAGAAAAAAGAATAAATATCACATTAGAAAAATAGAGCATGAGATAATATACAATTATGGATAACTCTTAAAAATTAAAATGATCTTTTTCATGCTTAGGTTTGGCTGCAGAGAAAGATGGGACCCCTGTGTTCAAGTTCCCTCGATGGAGAGTCAAGGGCAAGACCATCAAGGAGGTGGCAGATGCCTACAGATCCGTGGGTGCAGAGCTAAATGTGCTGCCCTTCTGCACACAGTTCATCCCCATGGATGTGATCGATGGCCCAAAGCATGGCTCCATCATCTACCATCCATCCATCCTGCCCAGGCACAGAGGAGCCTCTGCTATCAACTGGTGAGATTTTTTTTTTCAGTAACAGAGGGGATTTCTATTGCCCATAGTCTTTCTGTCTTTTATGTAGATGATAAAGAAACTAGGTATGCGTGAACAATTGTGAGCTCCTGACTGACTGCTACAATTGCATGAAGCCCCATGGAGATCTGGACATACTGTGTGAACCAGGACGGCATTTGCTAAGAACAGTCTATGGAGTACTAGTTCCATCAGCTGTAACCAGGTGTTGTGCAAACAAAGGTTCCATGGTCAGATAAGTTTGGTTTATGCTAGATGCTTTTTATTACAGAACTTCTTTGAGCTTTTCTTTCCTTTCCTTCCTTTTTCCTTACTTCCTCCTTTCTTTCTTTCTTTTTCTTTCTTTTCCTTTCCCCTACCTTCCTCCCTCCCTCCCTTCCTTCCTTCCTTCTTTCCTTCTTTCTTTCCTTTCTTGTCTCACTCTGTTGCCCAGGCTAGAGTGCCATGGTTACAGCCTAGCTCACTGCAACCTCAAACTTGTGGGCTTAAGCAATCCACTTGCTTCAGCCTCCTGAGTAGCTGGGACTACAGATGACCACCATAAACCCATCTAATTTCTCTATTTTTAGTAAAGATGGGGGGTCTCACTCTTGGTCAGGCTGGTCTTGAACTCCTGAGCTCAAATGATCCTCCCACCCTCAGCCTCCCAGAATGCCAGGATTATAGGTGTGAGCTACCATGTCTTGCCTTCTTTGAGCTTTTAATTTGTGCTTCAGTGTGATCATCTGAAGACCACACGGTTCCCAAACTTATGTGACCACAGAACTTGTTTGCATAGAGCATCTTGGGTGTATTTCAGAAAATGCTGAATTACCTGAGATTATCATCGTCATTGTCCATCTTCCCCACTCGACTTTCAACTTCTTGAGGGAGGGACTTAGTCTAACATTTTTATTGCTGTTTCCCGGTGTCAAGAACAGTGCCCAGGATGCAACAGGTGCCTAATGCCATAGGTACAGTATGCTGTGGGTTGAGGTGGGCCTTTCCCACCTTTCCTGCCTTCTCTCCTTTACGTGCACATCTTCCTGTCATCCCCCAGGGTCAAGTTGTTGAATAAGCAGAAAGTCTATGCTTGGTTTAAATGTGTTAAAAAACATTCACTGTATTTAAAGTTTAATTACATACATCGATTTCTTTGGGGCTCTTATAAATAATACTTGATCATTTATTAGATATTTTTGCACTTGTATTAATAGTTTTTCTCACTTCACACTGTTTCTACATGCAGAATAATTGGGCTAAAGCATATCAATATTTTTCAGGCTCCTGATAACATAGTGCTAGTGAATTCCTCAGTATTTCTGAAGTGTGATTGACTGATGATTGATTTAGATCTTGTTCAATTAGTAGCTCAGAAGTCAAAATGATTTAGATCATGGGCATGGCTGACCTACCACTTCACACTCTCTCCGTATTAGCCTACTCTCTGATGTGCTTTTATCTGTGTTTGTTCACAGATCTACCATATTATTTGTACTATATGCTTCTGAAGGGCTAGCATTTTCTATTAGTTCTCAGTTCTTCTCATCACTGATTTATCTTCTGTTCATATTTCAACATAGGGTTAAGAGCAATGTAGGAATTGTACCCAGGTGGGCAAATTCCTTGACTTTGAATTAGAAGGCTGACACCTGGGAATCATGGTAGTGGTAGTAGTGGTGCACTCTAGTGCCTTTGTGAATTCATTACAAGTCATTTCTATGTGTTAACTAGAAAGGCTGCAAGTACCAGGATGTATAAAATACCCGTTCCGTTAAGTATTGCTTTCGTGAGCTCTGCCATCCCAGCTCTACTATTAACTTCTCACAGTTGTTTCATTCACTATTTTTCCATTTTAACTACCTTATACTTTACCATCATGAATTTATCATGTTATGATGCAGTTACCCAACATCTTAAGTTGAAATTCTTCTTTTCATAGGACTCTAATTATGGGAGACAAAAAAGCTGGATTCTCTGTTTTCTGGGCTGATGATGGTTTAGATACAGGACCGGTTCTTCTGCAGAAATCATGTGATGTGCAACCCAATGACACAGTGGACTCGCTTTATAATCGATTCCTTTTTCCTGAAGGAATCAAGGCCATGGTCAGTATATTTATGGCAACAAGAAGAAACCAATAAACCTTTGAACTTAGGGAAAATTTTTTCTTTTATTAAGAATTTACCTACATGAATTTTCACTAAAAATGTAGAGCTTAGAAACAAAATTAGGTTTTATATTTACCAATGGGATAGTATATTTAGGGTGGGAATCTGAACTTTCTGATTTCTCAGCCTGTGAATCTGACTTGTTCTTCTGAGAGTCATAATCAAACGGATGAAGTGGCAAAGAAATGGCTCTATGTCTTGTGTCAAGTATGTGAATCTCTGACACCATTTGTAATGACTAATTGTTAAAAAGTGTACAAAAACTTAAGAAATTTTGCTATGTAACTTGGACTTCCTTTGAAAGGATTTTAAATTAGTCTGTATAACTGGGTGAAATTTGCTGTTGTTGGGTGTACACTGGATAAAAAGCCCAAAGCAGGGTGGCGCCTGTGGCTCAGTGCATAGGGTGCCAGCTCCATATACTGAGGTGGAGGGTTCAAACCTGGTCCTGGCCAAATTGCAACAAAAAAGTAGCCAGGAGTTGTAGCCAGCACCTGTCGTCCCAGCTACTCAGGAGGCGGAGGCAAGAGAATCGCCTAAGCTCAGGAGTTGGAGGTTGCTGTGAGCTGTGTGACCCCACAGCACTCTACGGAGGGCGATAAAGTGACTCTGTCTCTACAAAAAAGAAAAAAGCCCAAAGCATGTGCACCAAAAGTAAAAATATTAGCCTACAAAAATATTGAAAGATTTAGCAGATAATTTTGATGTTATTTAATTTTTTTCCAGAGTTGGTATCACAGAGGTAGCGAGATTACCAAAAGAAGTGTCTATTGCCTCAGTGGGAGGGAGGCAGTGCTTCATTTGCACCATTCAGTAATTTAGGGAAGAGGCCTTTGGGGTCAGAAAGACCTAAGCTCTCATTCTCATTCTCTCTTATTTGTTGTATGACAACAGGCAAGTCACTTCACCTCTTTGGTCTTGGTTCCCTCGTCTGTAAAATGTGGATAATGACTGATGTGGTGGCTCCCACCTATAATCCTAGCACTTGGGGAGGCTGAACGGGTGGATTGCCTGAGCTCACGAGTTCGAGACCCACCTGAGCAAGAGTGAGACCCTGTTTCTAAAAATAGACAGGCGTTGTGCCAGGCATCTGTAGTCCCACTTACTCGAGAGGCTGAGGCAAGAGGATCATTTAAGCCCAAGAGGTTGAGGTTGCTGTGAGGACTCTACCAAGGTTGTCAAAGTGAGACTCTGTTGCAAAAAAATTAAAACATAAAATAAAATAAAATTTGGATAATACTGCCTAACTTGTAGGGTTGTTGTGAAAATTAAATGACATTATTTGTGTGAGGCATCTGGCACACAGTAGGTGCCAAAAATGACAATTATAATCACTAGAGCATAAAGTGTGTTCCGTGACATTTGCTCAAGCCCAGATTCTATATCTGATGTTATTACAGGCAGTCCCTGAGTTATGAACATCTGACTGACTTACAACTTGCACTTAGGACAGGGGCTATTACAGTAAGTCTAAGTCCCCAAGTTACAAACATCTGACTGATGTACACTTGCATGGGGGCTCTTATAGTTAACAGGAAAATGTACCTGTTCCAACTTACATATAAATTAAACTTAAGATTAAACCTATCTCATTTGTAACCCAGGGACTGACTGTATAGAGGGGGTGGATGAGATGAGCTGGAAACTTGGGCCTGGTCCCTGGTGGCTCCTGCTTTGTGTTCCCAGGAAGGTTGGCCAGCTGCTGTCAATCCTTAGAGAGAAATCCAGGAACCTGAGCTCACAGAAGCCTCTCAGGGAAGAGGAGAGGCTCTCAAGTCAAGGCAAACATCCCAAAGGCATTCAAATTCATAGATAGATTGTAATGAATAGATAGACATTCAAATTCGTAGATTGTAGTGTTTTAGATTCTAGGTGTCCTAAATTAGAAAGCAAGTTGAATTAATGAAATACAACAATGAATCATTTTATAGAACCATTGCGATGAGCAAACTACTCATAATGACTTGTTTTGTACATTATATTCATAATTTCCACTGAATCACCAAAGTGGAGGTTGGAGTTTGCTTACAGAAGGGAGTAATTTGACTGGGCTCTATAGCTCATGCCTTTAATCTTAGCATTCTGGGAGGCTGAGGGAGGTGGATTGCTTGAGCTCAGGAGTTTGAGACCAGCCTGAGCAATAGCAAGACCCCATCTCTACTAAAAACAGAAAAACTGAGGCAAGATGATCGCTAGAGCCAAGAGCTTGAGGTTGCTGTGAGCTATGATGCCACAGTACTCTACTGAGGGTGCCAGAGTGAGACTCTGTCTCAAAAAAAGGGGGGGAGGGGAGTAAATTTTAAGAGGGCAAGTTTGATACTGGAAGTAGATAGAGCTGGATGCAGATCCTGCTCCCAACACCTACCAGCTGTCTCTGTGATCCTCAGCTAGTTGCTTAACTTTCTTTAACTCTCACCCGTGGGAGTGCAGAGATGCAGTCATTGCTCACTGCAGCCTCATACTCTCAAACTCAAGGGATCCTCCCACACCAGCCTCCTGAGGAACTGGGACTACAGGTGTATACCGCCATGCCCAGCTAATTTTTAACTTTATTTTTGTAGAGAGGGAGTCTTGTTATGTGGCCCAGGCTGGTCTCAAACTCTTGATCCTCTCCCCTTGGCCTTCTAAATTGTTGGGTTTACAGGTGTGAGCCACTGTGCCCAGCCTGCTTAAATTTTCTAAGCCACAGTTTTCTCATGTGTAAAATGGGAATAATAATACCCACCTTACAGGATGTTTGTGATGTTTGCAAGGGATATTTTACATAAAGTAGCTGCTTTTGTACATACTGCTTGGCACACAGACGGACCTGAAGAAATGGTAGTTATTAGTACAGTCTGGCTGTGAACAGGGTTGGAGGTAGTAGTTCCATTAGGCAGAAACTCCACTTAAACAGACCATGCCATTGTTGATCATTGGGCTATAACACAGGTAACATTTTTGGCCTCAGGTGGAAGCTGTTCAACTCATAGCTGACGGAAAAGCTCCTCGTGTTCCTCAGCCAGAAGAAGGGGTGACATATGAAGGTATCCAGAAAAAGGAAAATGCTGAGGTATTTATATCAACTCAGTAACACATCCCAGAGTTCATGGCCCTCTACCTTTAAGTAGTTCCCAATGTACTACGGCCTCACCTAAAGGTGGATCTCCAAACCAGCCCCACTTCTGCCACTGATAGAAATGTTCACACTGCCTTGGAGACTCACAGCCATAGCAAGGTCAGCCTGTGCTCTGCACTTTCCTAGATTTCTTGGGATCAGCCTGCTGAAGTGTTGCATAACTGGATTCGAGGTCATGATAAAGTCCCTGGAGCTTGGACAGAGATAAATGGACAGGTATGTTTTAGGGGCCACTATTCCCACCCCCATAGTACCTTTGTAAGAGGCATTACAGATATGTCTGGCTTCCCTGGGTTCTTCCCTGGGTCATGGGCAGGGTCATGTGCAGGGGCTGTGACTCACTCTTCTCTGGATTCTGCACGTACTGAGCATTCATTGTGAAGCGGACACCAGGCACAGCTCCTGCTCGCAAGTAGACTGCAGTTTTACAGGGAAAGCAGAGAAGTGAATACATAATCACAAGGCAGTTAGAGAAATGCTGCAACTGAGGCCCACAGTCAGGTATAACACATGAGGGCTTCCTGTTACAGTCTTGACAACCTCAGTAGTCAAGCAAGATTCCCAGTGCAAAGTCAGTGCCAATAAAAAATACATGGAATCAGGCGGCGCCTGTAGCTCAAAGGAGTAGGGCGCCGGCCCCATATGCCAGAGGTGGCAGGTTCAAACCCAGCCCAGGCCAAAAACTGCAAAAATAAAACAAAACAAAACATGGAATCAGTGATGACCAAGGAAGGAAGTTTGTGTAGTGGTTTAGGAGGAAGTTTTACATTTTCATTAAAGTTCTGGCTCTGCCACTATTTATGGCGTAAGCTTGGGCAGGTTACTTAACCATTCATTGGGTGCCTTGGTTTCCTCCCTGTAAAATGGAACTAATAATACTGCCTCCCTTATGGGCTATGGGTTATTGTGAAAATTAAATGAGTTAATACATGTTAATTTATTTAAGTACATAGTCCCTGGCATAGAGTAAGTATTCAATAAATGTTAACTATGAGAGTGCTCCATAAATGATCGCTAATAGAGGATTACTTACGATAATTAATCAGTTTGGTTACAGTCTAGATCCAGTTCTGTTTCCATGAGCAGATGTATGAAGTCCCCTGTCCTTCTCATCACCTGTCACACCACATTGTAATAGTCTGTTCACTCCTCTGCACGTCTCCTCACCGACACCCCCCCCCAACACCTCCCTGCCCCCTATAAACTCTAGCTGCAGTCTCTAGAGGTTGAGAGCGTTTTGTCTCACTCACCTTTGTATCAAGGTGACTATGTGATAAATGTATACTCAGGTCGTCTGGATGTGGGGCATTTTTGAGCCTCTTCAATCACACATTTTACAGATGATTGATACCCTGTGGTGCCTCAATTTTATGATCGATGGTAATGTGAACTTCAGCCTTTTTCCCCTGCAGGAGTGATGCTTGCATACACCCCTATGAACAGCTCTGCTCCTGGTTTTACAATTTTGGTTTGATCTCTTTTTTAGATGGTTACTTTCTATGGCTCTACGTTACTAAACAGCTCTGTGCCTTCCGGACAACCTCTGGAAATTAAAGGTGCCAAGAAACCTGGTCTTGTTACCAAAAACGGACTTGTTCTTTTTGGTAACGATGGAAAAGTGGTGAGTCACCTATGAAATAACCTATGAAATACGGTCACCTATGAAATAACCATTTTGGCTTCCTTCTGTATCCCAAGCTATTAAGGGAATAGCTTGTACAAGGTCATCTGGCTTTGCACTAGGATGTGGGAAGGCTCAGAATAGCTGTGCCCCCATTTGTCTGTGGGAAGGAGCTGGCTCTGTGTGCCCTGATGAGGACAAGGCATCTCATAGTCTGCTTTGTAGAAAGGTGGAAAGACCTTGGCATTTAGGTCAAGGGACAAGGAAGGGAATTCCTACTGTCTCATGCTCTGGTCTTAGGCAGGATGGTTCTCCACACTGAGTCTCAGTATTCCCATATAAATAACAGAGGGGGGAGTGCCAGAGTCTGGGCAGGGCAAGGGAAATGCATTTGGCCACCTCAGATGCTTTTAGCCAGTCTTTCACCAGGAAGGCACCCACCTACGCTGCCTATGCTTGGGGGTGTTGACTCTGGCCATAGTGTACTGCCAGGTAACTCCCCAATGAAGAGGGCAAAAGGGAATTTGTAACTTACAGATATTTTCCAGTTGGTGCAGGATACATCAGTTGTCAAGACTGTGGGCTTCAGGGTCCAGCTAATTCTGGGTCCTAATCCCAGCTCTGTTACTGACTATCTGGGTGGTACTGGGTAGATTTCTTAACCCACCGAGTCTTCATCTCTGCCTCAGTAAAATGGGAATGAGAATGTCCTCTGCCTGCATCTGGACATCTGGATTTATGAGAGCATACAAGATACTCCATTACACGAATATACACTTCGTGGTGTGCAGAGTGAGTGCTCAGATAACACAGCAGCAGAGCTGAGGCAGGAGTAGTCATGTCTGTTCTTGTTATAGTAGGTTTTCATTCAAATATGTACATCTAAATGTCAACCTTTTCAGGGCTTATTATCCATTTTCAGATGTAGCTATCCTTAGGCTTAACTTTCTCCTTTCTGCTGCCCTTATTAAAATGCCATGCAGTCCTAGTGGTGAGGACTTTTAATCCACATCTTTGTATTTTCCAAAGAAGCCTGTCCTTATAGACATAGGATATATATGACTCCTCCTCCCACCATTACTTTTGGATTGTCCTAATCTCACACTTGTTTTGTCACTATTTTGTAGCTGATGGTGAGAAATCTGCAGTTTGAAGATGGAAAAATGATTCCTGCCTCTCAGTACTTTTCAGCGGGTGAGACTTCGGTGGTGGAACTTACAGCTGAAGAGGTGAAGGTGGCAGAGACCATCAAGGTGAACATGGGACAACCCAAATATCATTCTTACCTCGGAAAACTGAAGCATGTTCCTAACTGGTGCTATCAGCCCTCAAAGTAGTAAGGTTGGAAAAGATTTCCTTTCCTTTGTATTAGCTATGGTAGGAAATCAACCCCTAAATTTATATGCTCAGACACAGCATAGACAAATTTAGTTCCCACATAAGTAATCCAAGGCAGTTCTAGGTTGGAGTCATTCAGGCCCAGTCTCTGCTATCTTCAAGGTCACTCCATGGGGCACCTGCATTTTAGGCAGCCAAATAGGCAGAAGGACAAAAGGATACAGAGAATGGTCTGGAGAATGTTCTCCATGGGCTGGGACTGGGGTGCAAGTCGCTTCTGCTCATAACTCACTGGCCCCATCCCACCGGGAGAGAGGCGGCCAGTGCAGTCAAGCTCTGTATACAGGTGAAGAGGAGGTAGGTTTGTTTTGCTCATCAATGTTTTGCTTTTTGTGTAGGTTATCTGGGCTGGAATTTTAAGCAACGTCCCTGTTATTGAAGACTCAACTGACTTCTTTAAATCTGGAGCAAGCTCAATGGATGTTGTCAGGTAAAACCTAATGTTACTCACCACCTTATTGACGTATATTCCTCTACTCAAGATTTTGACTTTGACAATCAAATTCAAACTCTTGGTTCTAGATGTTATCACCCCAGCATACCCAGCAACTACACATCTCTTTTCATCATCTTCTTTTCTTGTCCTTTCCATGGTCAAGCACGTATGTATCTGTTTACTCCTCTGTGTTGCTAACCAGTTGTTTTCATACTTCCTGCACACCTAGAAAACCAAGCTTTATAATTGTCTGCTTCTTTTAAAAATTGGTTCTCACATTTCTTAGCTGATTTTCCTCCAATAAGACTTCAGAATTGAGAAGCTCTGGGTGAAAATACTAAGAGGGAATTTCCTGTGCAGTCTGATCCAGAAGGATACCTGACATTGATTACACTCTTCCCGCTCCAGTTTTTGTTTCTCCTACTTCCCCAAATTACCCAGTAAGATAGATCTGGAATGAGGGTTATGAGGCTACTTGCAAGAATCAGGGTAATCAGAATTTCTCCACAGGAGTTTATTGTAAGTTGAAAAGGCTAGAGTTCCAGAAAGCCTCCACTATGGCAAGAAAAATGTACCAAGATCCTAATGGTGCAGAGTCCTACAGAGGAACTTTTCCTTTGAGGCAGGTGGAAACCAACCGGGGGGTTGTGCAGTCCCTTGATGGTGGGTGCAGAGAATAGAAGCTCAGGGGATTTTCATTCCAAGCCATGCTATGGCCATTCACTAATTAAACAAGGTAAAGAATGTTCCTCCTCTTAACAAAATCCTTCATATTTACAAAGCAATAGCCCTTAGGAATATTCTACTTATTCATTTATTCACTCATTTATTTAACAAAATTTATTGAACACTTAACATATCAGGAACAATTTTGGCACTGGGAATACAATTGTAAACTAGACAAAGGCCCCCTCCCCCCTCCCTTTTTAAGTGGAGCTTTTATTCTAGAAATCAACGACAGTTATTTCCAGGGTATACAGTATTATTGAAAGTGTAACATTTGGTTCCTCAAATTACAGATGTCTCAGCTGGGCTTCATGAGTTCCAGAAACTTCTGATTAGCATAACTAAAGATTTCAATACTGTATTATTAATACTTTTTGGTTTTCTTTTTTTGCTAGCAATATTTTCTGTTTGGGTGTCTGACTTACCATAGTCATTTGATCTTATTCTCTTGATTACCAAGGCATCTCATCTCTTTCAGAGATTAAGCAACGACCGTGGTGGGTTCTCTGTAATGTACCCATTACACCATTGCCATTCAAGAAATTTCAGATAACAGCTGTAATTTGACAAGTTCACAGTGAAAATCAAAGGAAGTAGAAAGGATGTCAGACATTAGATTGACACACTGCATGGTTCCAGCTAGAATCTACATTAACCATTTAATACAAGAAAATGTCCATTTTATTCCTATGTATAGTTTACAGAAAATATTCTATAATATGACATTCATTCTCATAATTTTTTTTATACTTTTTGAGACAGTCTCATTCTGTCACCCTGAGTAGAGTGCTGGTGGCATCGTCATAGCTCACAGCAACCTCATTGGGCTCAAGCAGTCCTCTCACCTCAGCCTCCCCAGAAGCTGGGACTACAGGTGCCTGCTGTAACGCTTGACACTCAGCGAGTTTTTCTATTTTTAGTAAAGACGGGGTCTCCCTCATGCTAAGGCTGGTCTTGAATTCGTGAGCTAAAGCAATCCACCTGCCTCAGCCTCTCGCAGTGCTAGGATTACAGGCATGAGCCACTACACCCAGTCTTGTTCTCAGAATCTTTATGGTTAAGAAACTGTCCTGATTTTTTTTTTTTTTTTTTTGGCTAGGGCTGAGTTTGAACCCATCATCTCCAGTATATGGGGCCGGCGCCCTATTCCTTTGAGCCACAGGCACCACCCAAAACTGTCCTGATTTTTTATTCCTTGAGTACACTTGAAAAGAAAGGAACTGACTTTATTATTTCCTTTACTATCTTGCTTGTGAATTATTATAATGTTTTTGTTTGTTTGTTTGTTGTTTTTGGCCAGGGCTAGGTTTGATCCCTCCACCTCCAATATATGGGGCCTGCACCCTACTCCTTTGAGCCATAGGTGCTGCCCTTTATTATAATGTTTTTTCCTTTATTTCTTTTCTTTTTAGTCATAAGTTAAAAACGAAAAAAAAATTGCCACTGTACTTCAAGACAAATTTTTAATTTTCTCACCCCCAGGCTTATCAACATCACTGATCGTTATTGCGGAAGATCTTATAGGCTATAAATAAGTATATGAGATAAATTTTTTTTTTTTTTTTTGAGACAGAGCCTCAAGCTGTCCCCTGGGTAGAGTACTGTGGCATCATAGCTCACAGCAACCTCCAACTCCTCGGCTTAAGTGATTCTCTTGCTTCAGCCTCCCAAGTAGCTGGGACTATAGACGCCTGCCACAATACCTGGCTATTTTTTGGTAGTCGTTATTGTTGTTTGGCAGGCCCAGGCTGGATTCGAACCCACCAGCTCTGGTATATGTGGCTGGCGCCTTAGCTACTTGAGCTACAGGTGCTAAGCCTGAGATAAGTCTTACTTCAAAACAACTCGAGGGCCGCGCACAGTTGCTCATCCTATAAATCCTTCCACCTTAGGAGGCTAAGCCAGGAAGACCAGGAATTGGAGACCAGCCTGGGAAACATAATGAGACCCCAGTCGCTATGAAAATTTTAAAAATTAACCAGCATGGTGGTGCACACCTGTAATCCCAGCTACTCAGGACGCTGAGGCAGGAGGATCTTTTGAGCCTAGGAGTTCAAGGTTGCATTGATATTGCGCCAATGTACTCCAGCTTGAGTAAGAGGGTGAGACATTGTCTCTTAAAACAAAAACAACTCCCCCTAACCTCAGAAATGCTAGTAATACTGCCCCCCCACAAGCCCTTTCAAAAATGTCAATAACATGAAGCTGGTTCTTGCTTTAAGGCTGGTTGAAGAGATCAGACAGAAATGTGGTGGGCTTCAGTTACAGAATGAAGATGTCTATATGGCCACCAAGTTTGACGACTTCATCCAAAAAGTGGTGAGGAAACTGAGAGGAGAGGATCAAGAGGCAGAGCTGGCCGTGGATTACGTAAGCTTCTCCCTGACGTTTCAACTCCAAGTCACTGGGATCCATACACACAGAAGAATGCTGTGCCTGTTATCCCCTTGATTTTACATTTATAACCTTTAAAAACTAAAGCTTTAGGCTTGGCTCCTGTGGCTTAAGCAGCTAAGGCACCAACCACGTACACCTGAGCTGGCAGGTTTGAATCCAGCCTGGGACCGCCAAACAACAATGACAGCTGCAACCAAAAAATAGCTGGGCATTGTGGCAGGTGCCTATAGTCCCAGCTACTTGGGAGGTGGAGGCAGGAGAATCACTTGAGCCCAGGAGTTGAAGGTTGCTGTGAGTTGTCATGCCACGGTATTCTACCCAGGGTGACAGCATGAGGTTCTGTCTCAAAAAACAAACTAACTAACAAACAAAAAGAAAACTAACAGCTTTATTAAGAAATATAAATTAGAGACTATAAAAGTCACCCTTTAAAGGTATACATTTTAAGGCCAGGCACAGTGGCCCACACCTATAGTCCTAGTACTGTGGGAGGCCAAGGCAGAAGGATTCCTTGAGCTCAGGAGTTCAAAACCAGCCTGTGTAAGCAGGAGACCCCATCTCTACTAAAGATAAAAAACCTAGCTGGGCATAGTGGCAGGCACCTGTAGTCTCAGCTACTCAGGAGGCTGAGGCAGAAGGATGTCTTAAGGCCGAGAGTTTGAGGTTGCTGTGAGCTATGATGCCATGGCACTCTACCTAGGGCGACAGAGTGAGACTGTGTCTCAAAATAAAAATGCATTTTGGTGGTTTTTAGTATATTTATAGAGTTGTGTAGCTGTCACTGCTACCTGATTTGGAACATTTTCATCACCCCCCCCCACAAAAAAACATGCACCCGCTGCCTATCATTCCCTCCCCCATGTCCCATTCCCAGTTTCTAGAAACTGCTAATTTCCTTTCTGTGCCTAGGGGTTTGCTTGTTCTAGATATTTCATATAAATGGAATCACACAGTATGTGGCTTCTACCACTTAGCATAATGTGCTCAAAGTTCACCTATTTGTAGCTCATACCATCACTTTATTCCTTTTCCTGGCCAAATAATATTCTATTGTAGGAATATACCATAGTTTATCCATTCATTAGTTGATTCATCAGTTAGTTGATGTACATTTGGGTTGTTTCCGATTTGGGGCTATTAGGAATAGCTATGAAAATTCATGTGTGAATTTGCTCATGAACACATGTTTTCAATTTTCTTGAGCATATACATAGGAGAATTGATGAGTCATATGGTCACTCTTTGTTTAACTTTTTGAGGAACTGCCAGACTGTTTTTCCAAGTAGCCACACCATTTATAATCCCTCAAGCAATGTATGAAGATTCCAACTTTTCTATATCCACACCAACATTTACTATTGTCTACCTTTTGTTGAAAACTGGCCACTTTTTTTTTTTTTTGAGACAGTCTCCTGACTAGAATGCCATGGCCTTAGCCTAGGTCACAGCAACCTCAAATTCCTGGATTCAAGTGATCCTCTTGCCTCAGCCTCCTGGGTAGCTAGGACTACAAGCACTCACCACCAAGCCCAGCTAAATTTTCTATTTTTGGTAGAGATGGGTTCTCACTCTTGCTCAGGCTGGTCTCAGACTCCTAAGCTCAATCAATTCTCCCACTTCAGCCTCCAAGAGTGCTAGGATTACAGTAGTGAGCCACCATGCCCAGTCTCAAACTGCTCTTAACATGAATTTGGAGTCAGATCAACTTAGGTGGAATCTAAGTACCAAAGCTTAACTGTGTGTGTGTGAACTTGGAGAAGTTACTTAACTTTCCTAAGTCTTAGTTTCCTCATATGAGGTCCAACAATTAAGCTGGTAAACTCATCCTAGAAACAGTGCTACACACCTCATTGTTGAATATCAACTATGATCATCTTTGAAGTCCTCCCCTTGGGAAGCTATGCACTGATACCAGCATCTAGTCCGCCAGCATCAAATCACTTTTCCTAGGATGAATTCATGAACTTAATTGTCTAACTTTCATACGCTAAATGGGATAATAATAATAACATCCACTTCATTGCATTGTTGGAAGAATCAAATTCAATACTACATGTCAGACACACATTACATTGGAAGAACAATGATTTTAGAAAAGTAGACGATTTGCAAGGACCCAATACATTGATTCACATGAACTTTCCTTCCTTATGTCCTACATAAATGCAATGGAAAAAGTTTATAGAACCTCAGCACTTTGTATGGGAAAAGGCAAAATACTGTCTTGTTATTTTTTATTTCTTTTTTAAGCATTCTCATTTTGTCTTTAGGAAATTTTAAAATAGGTGACACCTGTAGCACAGTGGTTACGGCCCCAACCACATGCATTGAAGGTGGCAGGTTTGAACCCAGCCTGGGCCAACTAAACATTAATGACAACTGCAACAAAAATATAGCTGGGTGTTGTGGTGGGCACCTATAGTCCCAGCTACTCGGGAGGCTGAAGCAAGAGAATCGCTTAAGCCCAAGAGTTTGAAGTTGCTGTGAGCTGTGACACCATGGCACTCTATTCAGGGTGATATAGTGAGACTCTGTGTTAAAAAAAAAAAAAAGAAAGAAATATTAAAATAATTGCCTTTCCTTTTTAATACCTTGCATTGATATGAAATTCTATGCCAATCATGATCTTTCACATATACTATTTCAGTAACTCCTCACATTAACTGTATGAAGCAGTTGTCATTATCCCCATTTTCTTGTTGAAAAAACTGAGCTACATAGAATTTAATTATTGACCGATCACGGTGGCTCATGCCTATAATCCTAGTACTCTGGGAGGCCAAAGAGGAAGGATCACTTGAGGTCAAATTTTGAATCAGATTGAACAAGAGGGAGACCCCATTTCTACAAAAAAATAGGTAAAATTGGGTGGTACTTGTGGCTCAGTGAGTGGGGCGCTGGCGCCATATACTGAGGGTGGCAGGTTCAAACCCAGCCCCAGCCAAACTGCAACAACAACAGCAAAATAGCCAGGCGTTGTGGCGGGTGCCTGTCTCCCAGCTACTCATCAGGCTAAGGCAAGAGAATCACCTAAGCCTAGGAGTTGGAGGTTGCTGTGAGCTGTGTGACACCACAGCACTCTACCCACTCTACCAATGGTGATAAAGTGAGACTCTGTCTCTATAAAAAAAAAAAAAAAAAAGGTAAATTATCCAGACATAATGGCGCACACCTATAGTCCCAGCTACTCAGGAGGCTGAGGCAAGAGGATCGCTTTGAGCCCGGGAATTTGAGGTTGCAGTGAACCCCACTGCACTCTAGCTTCAGGTGACAAAGGAGGACCTTGTCTCAAAAAAAAAAAAAAAATATATATATATATATAGACTAACCTAAATTTGCTTCCTAGACAATGGTAGAAGGTACAATTTAGACAACACATGGGAGAAAATGAAAATCAGAAGAAACTTAAGGAAAGACAATTTAAAATGGTACTAGTTATAAAAGGATACCTATTGACAGAAGCATTTTCAATGATTTAAATGACACCAATGGCTGTGCTCTTTTGACACTGCCACTAGATGGCGCTGTTCCCTTCCCTGGAGGTCTTTTGTGTTGCCTTTCATCTGTGTAAGGAAGAAAATCCCAGATCTTTCTAAAACCCAGGCTAGAACACCTCTGTCATCCCAAGCTGAGCATCCTGAGGCCCAAATCTTACACGTGCATGTCTCTTCTGGACAGTAGGAACTAGAATCCCACAGATCAATTTCTCCCTCTGAGAGAGTGAATACACTTCCTTATTGCTGTTTGACATCAAATCAGTAAACATAGAAATCCATTGAGTTTATTAATATAATTCTCTCTCTTAGGTCTCAAAGGAGATCAATGAAATGACAGTAAAAATGCCATATCAGTGTTTCATAAATGGACAGTTCACAGATGCTGATGATGGAAAAACTTATGACACTATCAATCCAACAGATGGATCGGTGAGTAATTATTTAGTGTGTCATGACCACTGGTCCCAGGGTTTTAGTTTATACACAGTTGTAAAACTGGCAGTCTTATGAAACTCCTTTATTCTATCACTCTGTCTCTGAGCACTTCATACAATGTATTTAATGCATTTCTTTCAACTATTCAATTCTAATCCTGGCTGCTCTTAGGTATAGTAACTGCTTCTATAGAGTGAATATTTATGATGAATTTAGACAGACAGCTACACCTATACCCATCAGAGGCATCCACATAGAGCCAGATACAGAAAAACTATTCAGACTCTGAAAACACACAGTAAGAAGTTCAGCTCCCTAAGGGGCTAGTAGATCTTTTTTTTTTTTTTTTTTTTT